TCGTTGTTGCCTTCGTTATTATACCACCGCTACCTCTGTCACCACCAACTCTTCTGCCACAAACTGTCATAATCTTATATGATTACTCAATCTTTGTAATATATATATATACATAAATATATATATATACATACATACATATATATATATATATATATATATATATATATATATAGAGAGAGAGAGAGAGGTGAGTTCAATTGAGTAAATAAAAAAGGTTGAGAATGGGGAATCATTCTCAGCCACTTATTTTATCTAAGCATAAAAAGATACGGTGACAAACTTGTAAATATGATAACAACCTTCAATCTCAAATACGTATCTGTAGAGAATTAGATTACAGTTCAAACTCATTCATCGTTCATCATCCAAATTTCTTTTCCAACTTTCCACAATCATCCGGATTCCTTCAATTAAACCATTATCTAGTGCTAATAAATCATCGATCTTCGTCAATAATCAACACGATTCAACAGTTAACAACAAAAAATCGTTTTTGGTTCTTTTAACTCAACCTTCAATTATGCTTGAATACGATTAGATCTTCAACATCTATGATTAATTATATACTCCCAACGTTATTAGATCAACATCATCGATAATCAACAAAAATCCACTTCATATCATTCATTCAACATCGATTATCAAATAAAACTTCAAAATTGAGGTTAGAAAAAGATCAAATCGTTTTTTTTTTTTTTTTGAAAAATTTCGTATAATTCTCTATCAATCTACTCTTTTGTAAGATTTAAATAGTCAAAATATCATGTTTTTAACATTTTAAAAAAAAGTTAAATTGTATGCACTCCAACTGTTTGATGAAATGCATAAACTAAATTATCGCGTTATATTCATATATGAATATGTTTTCTTAGTATATGATTATTAAAACAAAAAAACAAATATGCAAGTCTGTATGTTATTCATATGTGAATAACATATAAAAATTATATATTTTTTGTGAAAATACCTTGTAATATTCATATGTGAATATATTGTGTAATATTTATATGTGAATATACTGTGTAATATTCATAAGTGAATATATTATCTAATATTCACTAATGAATATACTATGTAATATTCACATGTGATATACCATGTAATATTCAGATATGAAAATATTATCTAATATTCATAAGTGAATATACCATCTAATATTCACAAGTGAATTACTATGTAATATTCATAAGTGAATGCATCGTCTAATATTTAAATATGAATATACTATGTTTATTATACTAGATTATAGCCCGCGTTAAACGCAGGAAACGTATAAAAAACATATAATCGTTTATAGATATTGTATAATGATTATAAAAAATATATATGGTTATTGGTATTATTAAAATGTGTAGAAAATACATTGAAAACGATAAATATATAAAATCATTGAAAGATCTCTTTGTAGACATCATTTTTTATTTTATTAGTTGAACGACTTTACTCGTCTTATATAGTTATGATATTTATATATTTATAAGCATTTTAATTAGACGTTCCTTGCATAATAATGTTACCTAATTTAAATATATATTGACAATCAATATACCGTTTTTTCTATTGCATTAAATATTAACAACTATTTCATTTATTCAAATAAAATTATGTAATATAATTTATAAAATGTTAAATGTTATATAGATTTAATTTTAGTATATCATCAATGGAGATTTTTTTCTAAATCATGATTTGTTTATTTTAAATTGATTATAAATATAAATGGTAGCTTTTATGTTTGTTCTTATTTATTTAGTGTTCGCAAAAACTTTGCATTAGTTTTGGCGCAACTTTGAATAATTTTAGTATATCATCAATTTAATTTGATATATCTGTCAATTATATGAAATATTAAATAATAAAATTTCATTACTATTGTGATAATTTAGTTTATATATTGTATTTTCACTAATCTTAACGGTATAATTTTTTCTAATAACCGTAACGCTTTTACTAAATGTACTTTTTACAAATCTCCTAATATCTTATAATTTTAATCTTACTTTATAATTTTTCATAACTATATTATTTTCAAGATTGACTGCTTTAATAGTGTTTTTTTTTTCAGTCTATTTAATTTTATATTTCATCGTACAACATCATCGTTTGTATGTATTCTGAAATTTCACTTTAAAAATGCTTAATGTTTACACCTTGATATTAATTTTTTTAATAAACTCATGTAATAATTATGGAATATATATCTCATTTTAATTAAGATTCACTTCCTTTATTATATCAAATTCCTCATTAAACGGATATACTTTTGGAAAATAATAATTATAATAGGACAACATTATGTAAAACGTAAATGTTTGATATACTTTTGGAGAAAAAAAAAATCACGATCACTAAAAAAAATTATATAAAGAAAATACAAATTTAAATTTGTTGAAATTATGGATGAAATTACTGGAAAAAAATTATTTTGTAAGGTGTTGTATTTTGTAAGATATAATAATATTACAAAATTTGAAATATCTATATTTGTTGTGCAAATTAATAAATTTTATTGTTACTATACGAAGATAAAAAGGTAGGTTGATATGATATACAAAAACATAATAATTTCAATGATATTCTAAAATCATGTCAAAATTAACCGGATTCTTATGATATAAAAATTAAAAAAAAAATCATCATCATCTCTAATATATAAAAGTAACATTTTCGTAATTAATGTTAGTTCCCAAGATAATTAATTTTTGTTTTGTTAAAGGTATCTAATACCTTTTCATGTTTATTTGAAAAGTTTCAGAAAAGTAGTTAACTGATTTTATATAATTTGTGACAAAGAAAATCGAAATATATGAATACATACATTTGATATAGGAACAAAAAATGATCGAAAAAAAATATAAAAAGCGAAAGAATGTACTGACCTTCTAGCGCACACGAGGGAATGTTGATAGCAGAGAATGATGATGGAAGTTATAAGCAATATTAACGATGTTGTAGGAGAAGGTTTGAAGAAAAGAAACGATTGAAAATAAATGTGAGTTGCGGATTCAATGATAAATCGTATATGTATGTGATAATTTGAATATGATTTTTCGGTATTAATGATTTCCTAATAAAAAAAGATTTTATATTACTGGTTTACTAATATAAACGGATTTATATTAATAGTTGATATTAAGGCCTTGATTGAAATAATTTGTTAGTAATATATTTTTAAAATTGATCATATTAAAATCTTCATAACTGAAAATTCAAGATGTAAAATATGGAAAGCTTTTATTGGAATTAAATACATTCCATTTCAACGAATGTAAGTTATTGATTGATGATTGGAAAGCATTTATTGGAATTAAATACATTCCATATGGGGAAGACGATATCAGCAATTTGATCTAAGGGTGGAAAAAATAAGATTGAAATATAATAAATGATCCAGATTATTTAAGATGATATCATAAAGTTTCTCTTTTAGTAATATTTAAGATGCTATATTCATATATGAATGATACTTAAATTGTAAAATAATAATAATAATAATAATAATCATAGTTTTTATTTATAACTGAATAACGAATGTACTGTAGTAAAACTTGATTCATTTTTGTTCACTTATGAATAACGATAGCTGAAAATATATTAAAAAAAATTATTTTATCTTAAAACTATATCAATATGAATGTCTATTTGTAGAGAATAAAAATCATGAATTTTAGTATATTTAAAATCATTTTTCGATAAAAATAGCTTCTTAAAAATTTAAAAAAAACAAAAAAACTATGTTTTGTATATATTAAGGTAATGATTAGCATAGTTTAAGGAAATATGTTTTGTTGGAAAACACATGTCTATTCCTTTCTCATTTCTGCTGGTACGATAGAGGCTTTTGTGGCAAAAATAAATGAATGACTGAGAATGATTCCCCCATTCTCAATCTTTTTTTTTTTTCTCTCAATTGAACCCTCATATATATATATATATATATATATATATATATATATATATATATATATATATATATATATATATATATATATATATACACATATAGATCCGATAAGAAATGTTTTTTCGTAGGAAGGTAAGAAATTTTTATTTGACTTATTTTTTTGGCGAAAAAAACAAATAAATCACCAAATGAATCAATAATAAAGTGATTCACCAAAAAAATCCCACAAAAACATTTCGATGATTAATTTTTATGATGATTTTGTTGATATTCACTAAAATTGTCATAAAAGTGAATTTTTTTCTTGATTTACCTAAAAATGAATCATGAAGGTGTTTTTTTCGGAATTTTTTCTTCTGAATCATCTTACTTTTGAATCATCTAATGATTCATTTCATTTTTTGTTAAGAAAATATGCATATTAAAAAAAATTTACCTTCCTACCAAAAATTTCCTTCTTATTTGATCTTGACTCTCTCTCTCTCTCTCTCTATATATATATATATATATATATATATATATATATATATATATACACACACACACACACATACCTCTTCTACCACAAACTATCATAATAAGCATAACTAGGTACCCGCCTATTTTATTTGGAACCGAAACTGCTCCCGGACCTGGCGGTTCTTAGGTTTTGGGCATTGAAACTGAAATCGCCTACACCGGTTCCTAGAAAATTTGGACCACTCCCGGAACCACCGGAACCGGTTCCGGTTCCGAGTACCTGGCTCTTAAGTATTAAAACTTGTTATTTTATATATGTCATGTAAATTATGTAAATTAACATATAGAAACAGTACAAGTACAAGATATAAAACCAAAATATTTACAATAATTTGATCATTTAAAACCAAAACAATATAAGTACAAACATCAAACCTATCTATTTCATCAGAGGAATATTGTCTAGTCTTCAAGTGTATTCTAACACAATTTTGTAATCCTTTGTAGTATCTAAATAAAAAAAAAGGATCAATTAAAGATATATTGACAATAGAAATGGACATTAATGCCTTTAGTCCTTCACTAGTACTTGCTTTACTAAAACAACACAAGTATAATCCATCTTAATTTCCTTCTACGTACAAATTAATAAGCTAAATGAATTGAACTTTTTTTGTCAATTTAAAGTTTCAGTCCCTGCACTAGTACTTGATAGAGCCACTTTCATTTTCTCTCTCCCCCCTATGTGGTCAATCGCTTGTTCATGTGACATCCAAAACCACTCTCCAAAGTCATCCTTCTTAATGCCATCACCTATGAGGCTTATTTCTTCATCTTTTCTAGTAAACATAAACAAGAACATGTGACATAATGAAACAAAAACAAAATGCAACTGTTAAAAAGAATGGATTTTGGTTATTTGAAACTAAAACTTTGCAAATATGGTTGACTACTTGACTTCCCACTTTTTTGCTTGACCCTTCTAAGTCAGAACCCATCTAAATAAAAAAAGGATCAAAGAATATATTGTTATCAAATGAAGCCAAGTATTCATGTCATTATTATACAAATACAAAGTAAGTATAAAATAAACTTATAATCTTGTTTATAGAAGGATCAAAGAATATAATGTAATGTTTTTTAAAGAAGAAATTAATAAATAAATGCATCAAAATTAGAAGATAGAATAAGTGTTAGAACTTAGGAGATTACCATTTGAATGTAAGGATTGTCACCTAGACATGATTCACATATGATTGAGAAGTTATAACGTTCCCATCCATCAGCTTCAACATCTCTAAACGCAAAAACAAAATGGAAATCAGCTATGAGATTATGACCTCAGACACATAAATGATAAAAAGAGGTACGAAATTACGCATCTGCTAGTTGTTCATATGTTTACAGAAATAGAACAAGAACAAAAAATTGACAAGAAGAATTCATATGTTTACAAGAAACTATCGGTAGAAAGCTTCCAAATTTCAAGCAATAGCCTCTAACAAAACGACCTAAGGAATCTACATTTTCACGTATTCTCCAATAATCGTGATTTTCATAATTAAACTTCACATATTTACAGAAATCGAGATTAAGAAGCTGACCTGATAAAGACTTGTAGAGTTTTCGGTTTTAGACTTATAGTTGCTGAGTCAAGTGAGCAGGGATTGTGAATGATTGAACAGAGATGGCCGACTGCGAGAGATGACCTGCGATTGAGCGTAAGATAAGACTTCGACGAGAGGGTTACGACTTACGAGATACGATTGCAAGATACAACTGCAAGAGATGACCGTCGACTGAAACTACACCTGATTTTAAGCTCTAATCGATATTTTTGGTTAACAGATAATGTGAGGTGCTTCTAAGCTCTAATCGATATTTTTGGTTAACTGGTAATGTGAGGGACGACTGGTCTATGACGAGAAGAAGAGAGTTCATGGGAGAAGAGAGTGTCGTCGCTTTTTGGTAAGAATTAATTGGCGAAACCCTAAAAGAGATTAGGGTGAACGTTCTTTTTATTTTTTATAAAAACAAATTTACCAATATATAAAATATAATTTATTTTTAGAAAAATGCGGGTACCTGTCGGTACCGGTTCCGGGTACCCGGTATTGGAACCGGAATCGGCGGGTATCCAGCAGGTATCGGTTTCGTAAAAATGAAAGTTGGAACCAAAACTGCTTAAGGCGGTTTCTAGACTTTAGGAACCGGAACCGGAACCGCCTAAGACAGTTCCAATTCAAGAACCGGTAGTTTTGATTCCAAAAGTCGGTATTCGTTTCCGCTGCTCATCCCTATACCTCGTTGCTGCCGGTACGCTGGATCATTAGAACGCCAAATGAGAAATATGTGGCTGAGGTTGAATCTCAAGATCCTTATTTTTTAAATTTAAGTGAACCATTCCATATATATATATATATATATATATATATATATATATATATATATATATATATATATATAATTGGAATTGTTTTAATTACATGTAAGATTTTAAGATCATTAAAATTAAAGATCAAAAACTAACAACTACAAATGAAATATTCTACTTAATTATAAATATATAAGATATTGACACCAAACATTAAATTTTAAAAGCTTTACTTTTGAAAGATATAAGTTATCTAAAAGTATAGACATTTTTTTAACAACGGTAATTTTAAGTAAAAAACTACCTAGATGCTCGCAAAAAGAACAATATAGTTCAAAATTACAAGATTGAGTTTTTGAACCATAGAGTCTAACTACGGTTCATCTTAGTATTTCTATGTTAAAACCGTTTAAAAAAAGGCTACAATATTATCAAAGATGAAAAATTTTCTACATTGTTGTTGTCTAAAAACCGTAGCATTTTCGTAAGACCACAAAACCCAAAGAAGTATCAAAAAACCGATTCCGAGATTTTCCGTTTGAGTTGGACCACCATATGCAAATCAATCTATGTGACGTTTGAAAAATAAGGAATATCTGTTGTTTAGACAAGAACTTAAGGAAAATGAGATTACAGTGCATAATGTAAGCTAATCTCGAGGATCTTGTGAAGCTCAACAATAATAATAAGTAGCAGAAATTAAGAAGGAAACATAGTCACAATATACTTCACTAAATATACACAATTAAGAATGATACTTGTTGAATCATAACTTTGTTTGCATTCAAACACAATATATTATAGGGTGAACAACAAAGTATGAACAGTGAAGAACATAAACATTTAAAAGAAAAGGAGATTTATATTTCACTTGAACTGATTACAAGGAATATGAAGATCGGACACACTTTCTAAGTTTTACAAACTGTATATTTATACGAAGAAATAATACAAGTCCCTAAATAAATAATATAAATTAATCTTGATTAAGACGTCCACGCTCCCATGCTTGGACTGGCAATACCAACTCAACACGTAATTGTCAGAAAAGGTGATTATTACTTTACTGACACTGCGGTATCCACAAAAGACAAAAGGCTTAAACTCATCGCATCTTTATCTTCGGTATCCAGGTCTGCACTCAAGTCTTTTAGATAAGCACATATTCCATATCTTTTCTCTATTTGAACTCTTTGCAACTCCGCAATCAGGTGTTCACTTCCATTAATCTTCATAGGTGTCGAGATCCACTTTAAAACATCAACAATTCCCCACTAAGTGACCTTGCATCTATCACATTCATCAATTAAGTTTAAGAAACTTAATGATGATCCACCAAAACTTACTAACTTAAAAGATCCATTTGATTCTTCAGATTATTTCAAACTTTACTTCGTCAGCAATGAACTTGAATTTTTCAATATACGTGATGGTGTCTGCCAGTTGATTCTTCGAGCATCTATGAAACCCATTGGTAGGAAGGAAGTGTTTTTTTTTGCTATTTTTAGAGAGCTTGAAGACGATGCCAAGGTCAGGAAAGCTTGTGGAATCGATGCTCAGATCCTGAATTCCTTTGGTAATGAATATGGCATGTTCAAATAGAGGAAAATTCATATTTTCAGCAAGGACAGGATAAATTTATGCATGAATCATCGCAAAGTCACATACTAGAGCTTTGAGGAAATCACATGCTTTAGCATATGTTGGTTTCATGTTGTGATGCTTTTCAATATTGTTCTTGACTACCCTAGATATTGCGAAGATTTCTTCAGAGTTCATAAAGACAAAGTCTTCTTGAATGCGGTGGTATTCCTTCTTAAAGAGGACGCACGCGTGCGCGAGAGAGTGAGAGAGAGAGAGAGAGAGTGTGTGTGTGTGTGTGTATTGATAGAAGGTTACATTTTTGAATGAGCGAGACTTAATGTTTTAATGGTTTCAGGAGCATCATTGACCATATTTCTTTAATTTTCTTTCCATGCTTGTGATGAAAAGCATTTAGTCTTTCAAACCCCATGGGAAGTCTGCATTCGTCTAGAATACGAAGATCGAAAGGCTCAAAGACTAGGAAGTATTTAGCATTTGGAGATAAAGGAATATCCCAAAGTTCATCAATGTACGTCAGATGAGGAACATAGTCTGAATCAAGAATTCTTCGCGTAGGATTTACCCATGTATTGACCAATGCTTCATCCATTCGGATACTAAGTCCTTGAGTTTGGTAGATGTATTCCACCATTTTCACTGCTCTCCATTCATCCTTTTTTCTGCTTAATTGCAGTTTCATTAGATTTGTCCAAAGACATAAAAGGATCTAGTTCTGCTTCTTTAACTGGAGAGGTTTTTCTTGGAAACTGCAATGAATTTGGCTTCTTGGGAGATTGAGGGGGAGTTAAAGCTTTTTCTTTTGGTAGAGACTTAGCAGGAGATTGCGATGGAGTTTTATCTTTTGGGGGAGATTGATGGCATTGTAGTGAGGGAGTTTTGGAGCTAACTTTAACTTATGGGATCTTTTCCACTTTTGAGCAAGAAGGCACCCCTTATTCTCAAATAAGGCCTTAATTTCTTCAAGCATCTTTTGACTTCGGTGGAACCTAGTCATCATTTGCAAGCTTAAATAATTATTTGTTACTAGGTTAGGTTTTTAATGAAGTCTTGAATGTCTTTGGTGACTACTTGGATTTGATCGATTGTTTCCCTTGTTGTGACTACCCTTCTTAGACGTCTAATTGTAGATTTGAGTTCATAATACACTACTTCATAAGCATTGTGGGTTTCAGTGATCAGGTATTTGGTCTTCTCCTCCTACTCTTTGGTCAGTTTGACTAACTCATCCTTTAATTCCTTGACGTCTTTCAACAACTATTCAACTTTCTTAAGAAATTCCTTGTAGTCTGCTTGTCTTTGGACATCAAGTTAATGAATGCCCATTTGTAATGTCCCCAAAATTTCTAGTTGATGCTTTGATGTAGATACAATCATTCATGAGCCTTTCCATGGTCAGATGAACAACATGTAAAGTAGTTATTCAACAACTGTAAGCTGATGCTTAGAGAATTCTCTCAAAATATTCCATACCACAATATATATATATATATACATATATATATATATATATATATATATATATATATATATATATATATATATATATATAATACATACACATAATGGCCTTCAGCATATAGTTGGTCCGCACTATGGCCTTCAGCATAAAGATGATCCGCCACCATTTTACGTACAACATTTAGCTAGTCCGCACCTTGGCCTTTAGCATAAAGCTAGTCCGCCCGAGTCTATTTGCCTTCAACACAGGGCTAGTCCGTCCTCAACTCCACACACACACACACACACACAAACACACACACACAGATATATATATATATATATATATATATATATATATATATATATATATATATATAGTAGCAATCCACATAACATGCAACTAATTATCCAAGTCTAATTGCCTAAATGCATACCATAGAGGATAGATACAGGAGTATACAATATAGTGAGAATACCTCACCTTGACGTATTCTCATAGGATTAACAGTTAACTGGATAATTTAGCTGACGACCAACACTTTAATGAGGATTAACCTATAGTACTATAGTTTAATCTTGGTAAAGTAGGCTATAACAACATGAATTCCCAAAACAATTTTTTATTTTTAAAACATAACACATCTCATAAAGTAATTTCAAAACTAAAATGTATCAAATGTTATCACAGTAAAAACATATCCCATAGTCTCAAATACATAATACATAATACTCCATCAGTGTGTACAGATCATGTCGGTGCCTTCCCGCGATCCTCGCTGGTACCTAAAACACATATCACATAACACGGTAAGCATAAATGCTCAGTGAGTTCCCTAAAATACCACATATAACATATAAGCCACTCGAGGCTATAACTTGGTATGACCCTCGGGTCAATGTGTCTCAGCGGGACCCTCCGGTCCGGTCTGATCGAGGACCCTCTGGCCTTATGAGTCGTTGGACCCTTTGGTCCAGTCTATATAACATATATCATACATATAACACAATGCACATAAATCTCAAACATACACATACACATACACATAAGACCCTTCGTCTTTACATAGTTACCACTCTAGGTAATGTATAGTGAGAAGACTCACCTCGTAAGATGTCTAGAAAACTCTCGTGCTCGAATCCCCGATCTAGCCTCCGCCTATCAAAATGATAACATCTCTAATCAATAAAATCCTTACATCCTCCTCTCTAAGAATGGGTAGAAGGTTATTCTACCCCTCCATGGCCTCTCTTTAATTCAGTTTGATCAACCCTAAGGTCAACTGAAGTCAACTCAGTCAACGGTCCCACTTTGACCAGACTCTTCGAGTGCACTCGGGTGACTCGACGAGTCCATGCATGTTCTTTGAATCCTCCCAAGGCCTCACTCGACTCGTCGAGTTAACCTTTCACTCGACGAGTTACAAATAATCACGAAACACTGGGCAACCCGATCCGACTCGTCGAGTCCTCTTATGGACTCAGCGAGTTTCCTCCATGACGATACTCATTTGACCTTCTGAGGTCATATCTGATCCTCTAACCTATAGATCTGACCTTCTAACACCCAGAAGTCACGTAAAGGTTCAAACTTTATGTCCATGCACCACACATCAAGCTCTATTTGATGAAATAGCTCTTAAAATGACAACCTAGATTCAAAACCCCAATGGGACTGGATAAAGCTGAATGATTGGGACTCTCTGGACCTAGAAGGGTCCAGATCTATAACACAAACTTGCAAGAGGGGTTTGAGGCATTCAAAACCCCAAAAATGAAGTGATTCAATCCCTAACCCCAAAAAAATGGAATCTACACAATAGGGAAGAAAAGGGGTTCGATTTGGTGCCTCGGAATGAAGCTCCTTGCTTGAATCACTTAGAATAACAACCTCCTCTGGTCCTTCTTGCTGGAGCTCTCCTCCTCCCCTGAAAAATCACACCAAAAAGCTCAAGATGGCTCTCTCTCTCTCTCTCTCTCACTCTACACACTCAAGCTCGCTAGGGTTCTCTCTTCTGGAAAGGTAGCCGCAAATGATGGCCATAAGTGCCTTTAAATAGGGCTCAGGCCCAAAGATTTAGGGTTTCTGCCAACAACGCGGACTCGTCGAGTCAACTCACTAACTCTTCGAATCCATTCATTAACCCGAGTCATCAGTCGTGATCCTACTCGATGAGTTTAGGCGTCAACTCATCGAGTCCTTCTTCTTAACTCAGAAGTAAATACTTAAATTATGATGCCTGGAAATCCGGGTGTTACATAGGCTAGACCTATCACTAATCCCAATGAATACCAATAGTATTATAAAATAAGGATCAACCAAGATGGACAATTGGAAGGCAGTACCATATCGGTATAACAAATTGGAATTAATGATAAATCTTAGTTATAGGCTCCTAGCAACAAGTTATAACTTTGATTATAAATTACACGGAGGTAGATTAAGTCTAGCTCACTTACAGAATACTACTAATGAGAAGTGGGATCTAAGCATGTAGAATACTGATTTGGGATCATATTTGAAGAACTACTACTCAGATGAGTACACGGGGGTGTCACAAGACTTCGTTGCTGGCCAGAAACTAAGGGAAAATAGGCTAGTATCGAGAAATTATCGAGAGAGGATAATTAGGGAGGTTTGGGGAATAAATGAAGCATGGAGAGCAAGTTATATGCAGGAATTCGGGTCAGCACTCGTGCGCCAACTTGGTCGGAAAGGATGCCCTTAAAAGCGAACACGTGGTAGATGTTGGATGGTGCAAAGTGGAAGCTTCTATAACACTACATGCGCTGCGCATATGTGCACCAAAATTCCATATTTTCAAAATTGTGTGACTTCTTCATACGGGCTCTGTTTTTACGTTCTTAATATCCACAGAAATCTCTCGATGAGAACTATAACTTTCGTTTATACTCCGTAAGCTAATTTGTTTTTTTTACAGGCTTAAATTGTTAAATTCCGTTTAAAATGCATAAATTTCTTATCCGGAGTCTATTTTCAACTGTCTTTATATCATTGAATTCCTATTAACGAGATCTTCAATTCTTATTTAGATTGTTTCAGCTGAAAATCGACCGATCTAAAATTCGATTTTTGAGTTGTACACTACTATGCTGAATCTTAGAAAAATCATAACTTCCTCTAATGAAGTTAGATTTAGATGTTCTCTATATGCACACTCTCAGTTTAACGACTACTACGACTTTTGTTTAAATCAGTTAGGCTAAAAAGTAATTTATCACATTTTACTTTTTACGATACGTAAATTCGTGTCAATTTAAATCATGAAACTTCAAAGAAGTATAACGTCTTCATATGAAGTTGGATTTATGCATTCTAAACATCTACAGAAATCATATCGATGTTTCCTACTTGCCAATGACGATTATTTTGGCTCAAGAGTAATATATTTTTATTTTGTATTTATTACAATCTACGATTACGGTAAACATGGGGTGTTACAACTCTCCCCCACTTACAAGGATTTCTTCCCCGAAATCTAACTAAATAAATTTAGGTAGTTTCTCTTCATCTCTTCATCTAGCTCCCAAGTCTATTCCGATCATTTTTG